TAGCTAGGAGAGATTTTAAGGGTTCAAACCCCCTCCCCTTGGCCTAAAAAAAAAAAAGGGAAGACGTTTTTGTCCTATCAATTTCTTTATGATCTATGATTTATTTATGATAAGAATTATTTTAAATAATCAGTTTAATTTTGTAATTGGTTTTAGCAAGTGGTTTTATATCGTATACCTACCTATCCATATCAGTGTTATACACATTATACCTAACTTAGAATGTAAATGCTAATATTATATAAACATTTTTAATTAATACTAATACTTATATTACAATGTAATAAAGTTTTTTATTATTTTATATTTTTACCTATGTATCTATATTAAGTCAATAAATTTGTACTCTGTACAATAATTATAAATAATATTAACGTTCACAAATAGGTATAATTATTCATCTAATCAAAGATGTATTATTCAACTAGTGTACAACTCAGTGGACCATTTACGGTTTTACCATACCGGGACAATATATTTTAGTGACGTGCAAAAATATAAACCCCTCCCCCCTTTTATAATTTCTGGCTACGCCACTAGCCGAACCAATGCCCTGATAATGGCTAAACATAAATTCACTGACGGAAACATGAGTCGACGATGGAAAAAATAATTATATAAATTTAAAGATTCAATTCACATTATCATACGGTCATCTTGCAATAGGGGCAGGGGTGATGGCTCCAATAACTACCGTGAAGTATACGTGCCTGTTGTTCAAACATTGCACACGTGAAACAATGACACTTCACCGTCTGTTCTACACCATGTTCGCGGAACCCACGCGAACGGGGTGACGATCAGATAAAACAATAAACTGCAATTCGATAAACACACACTTGGAAAACGCATAATTTTAGCGCTCGACGATCGAACGCTTACAACGTCTGTGCGCGCAAACCGTAAACGTGTACACACGTCGTACAAATACCGGTTGTTTCCTCTCAGAGAAAATAACCATTTTATTTTTTTTTCTACAACAGTGTTAACACGTTCACTTGAGCTTTCTTTGGCCCGCGGGCACAGCTGGCGACCGGACGTTTCACGGTGACATTAGCAAGTACCTCTTTATCTTTGTTTTCCCTTTTTCATTATTATCTCGCTAGTCTGACGGTTTTGTTTATTTTTCATTTTTATATTTTCGTTTTTGTTCTGGAACCCTACTATAAATGTGTACCGAGGGCTGTGGGAACAAAGTCCTATTTCTAAGTGAATGCATAAGTATACCTACTAACTGCAACTTATACTGTTATAGTGCAATACTGTCGAGTGGCGGAAGTTGGTGAAAGGATAAGGGGTGGTGGAACGCCAATAAAACATCGCCAGACGTGAAAAATGTGATTAAATTGAGAATACGAAATGATAAAAGGTCCAGTTGGTTTATTTTCTTAAAATGCACGAAGCAACAAAATATTATGTTTCCAAGATCAAGCAGCCGTTGTGAATTGTTATTATCATCGAATGTGTTCAAGATCGAAAAAAAGAAAAAAGATACTGTACTGGTGTGCGGTGAAATTCAATTTTTATCAATCTTCATGGAATTGGAAATGTATTTACCTATATGCACAATAGGTACCATCATCATAAAAAGTTATCCCACCACAATATTACTTCTTTGATCTCGTTTTAATAAGTACAAATGCATGTGGAATTAAATGCAATATATTTGTTACTTAACCGAGTATATACATATATAGTTATTACGATTTTTGATTATCGATCAGTACACCAAGAAAAATTAAAATGTAGTATAAACTATAGTATTTATTGTTTATTAACTATCAGAACATAACCATTAACGGTGAATTTACATTTATAGTATTGTGCATATATATACTGTTAACTCTTAATAATAATACTAATTAATTATAATTAAATTAATTATCAACATAATTACAAACTGTTAATCTCTAAATATCAAAAATATTATTGCAGGTAAATATAATATTCAATCTATGTTAATCATAATTTATATTAAATTGTTTTTCTCAAAATACAATAAATTAACCTACAAAATATGTATAATTTCAAATGTAATACAAATATAACATGTAAAAAATTATAGGTCTTAAGAATCCGACAAAACTTGCTCAAACGTCTGACTTATTAAATCACGATTTGTTGAATACCAATTATTAATTAATAATGAAAAAAATATTAAGTACCGATAAGAAATTTTAGTAGAAAACGTATATAAATCGAAATTCATCGTTAGGTTTATTTTAATTTCGATCAAACTTTCGCTCGATTACCATTTCATTATAATATTTGTCCATATAAAATTATACTATGTATAGAAATAATTGTATTCTTCAACAATTTGTAATGTTTGATTTCGCTACGAATACGAATTACATTACTTCCATACCATTGGACAAAAAACGCATTAGAGATTTCCCGTTCACAAAACTATGCAAATACACACGGACAATTAATTAATTATTTGCGCGTTGTTGTAGACGTGTACACCTTTCGCATTACACTAATCAGATACAAAACACCGGCAGTTAGAATAATGAAACATCCCACGAAGATGTTCAAGAACGCGTAGAAATAATATATTGTATATAGAAGTCGATATAAATATCGTTTCTGTTTTTTACTATCGTGCATTAATCACAACATTCGATTCGCCCAAAACATATGGTCGTATTATTATTATTCGTCATATTATGCGACCTCGTTAAAAAAAAAATAAATATTTGTATGAGTAACGTAGTCTCGGCTTGTATTCCCGTACTCGATAATAATAATTATTAATTATTGATAATACTTCGCGCGATTAAAGATAATATTATTATACATCGAACGAGTACACGTGATCCGGAATGATTTCAAATCGATATATATATATATATATATATATATGTATCTATTACTCGTTTCTAATCGAGTGATTCACCACGAACATGAGCATCTTCCATGACCATCCGCGCCGTCGCATACACCTTGACCTACATGATGTCTTCGCGTTAAGTAACAGTATGGTTGATGTTATGTTATTCGCATTTAAAATCAAATGATGGTTCAAAAGTCCAGCGTGAACGGGAACAGGGTGGAAATGCACGATATTATAATGTTTACCTAATACCGGACGAAAATAAATCGATGTTATCATCAGACTTGTACTTATGCACCGCTATTGTGCACCGGTTACGTGATCGGACTTGCCGTGTATCGCACTGACGAACCGTGACCAAAAATAAACGCGTTCAAATGTTCTTTATGAAAAATTTTCATTGGGAACCATATCATCAATAAATATTATATTATATTCGAACCTCGGCATTATCGGGTCGTCCGAACGTTACCACCATGATTATGCTTACAACCAGTGGCGCCCAAGACGTATTTTTCAGATGTAGCAAGATATTACTATTTATCCACCCATCCCCCGAAGAACTAAAACTTTAAAGAGTTTTATTTGTTTTAATATTTAATATTTTGGGTATTATATGAATAATAGCAAAGAAATAATATGAAGCATGTATAGTACAATAATAATAATTAATACGCCTTAAGTTTATTATTTTAACCTACATGTTATAGTATCCGTCCATCCCTTACTTTCTAGATGTAGCGGTTGCTACACCTAGCAATATGGTTGGAAGCCACATTTTAATGACGATCGCAAAAACGCGTCGCGTTAAAAATGTTGTCGTTAAATGTAAACGTGACCGGTCTTGGAATTTAATCGACGCAAAAAATGTACCCACATTTTTGTTATCCCAACGAATTTCGTATTATAGACTCGATTATTGAACGATAGAATAGTTTTTTACCGGAATTTCCAAAGCTTTACACGCGGTTGAGTATTTTTTTAATCCCGTTCAACGTATCCCGAACAGTGTCGGTCTAGATCATGTTGGGCCTCTGGCAATAAATTTACAACGTACCCATAAACAACATGATACTAGACTATGATTTAATAAATTCCTACTAAATTTTTTTTATTTCACTGCGCTCGAGCTCTACTCCAAATTTTAATTTATTTTTGTTTATATATTTCTCCAGGGCCAATATCATCGAATTATCATTGTGTTCGAATATGTAGCTGTTAAAAAGATTTGACTCAATTTTTCAAAGTATTTATAGTCGTTCGATTTTGATCAAGAGAACAAAAATGTATACACTATAGCGGTTATATTTAATCACGTGGACAATATTTCAAGATTAAGATAAGAATAACATAATTTTAATTTAATTCAGGAAAATAATTACTAAAATTCTTCATATTAGTGTGGTTGCTTTGAGCCTAGAGACAGATTTACAGGGGAGGTTCAAGAGTTCAGCTGACCCACAAATAATATTTGTTGACAAAAATAGCCACTTAATATATTTTTATGTGTGCCGACTATAAGTTAAAGTTATAACTAAACTGACAAATACCCTAGTTTCCCACATCCTCCAATGATGGCACTGGTTAAATTGTATAGTAAAATAAATTATCTTAAATAACTTAAATAACAAATGTAATATGATCATATTGTTTTTCTTCTTCGAAGAATATATTTATAATCCACTTTCAGCTCTAACGAGTGGCCTCTTGAAATAGTCTGACCGCAGCTCTTCAACTGCGAATCCGTCCCCAGTCAGGCCCCATTTTTTAAGAATAAATCTCAGGGCCCCCGACAACTGCCGGGTATTCGGGTGGACCAGACCGTCACCGACCCAAATCATAACACAGTCGACATCATATCGGGCAAGATTTTGGACATCGAGATTAGGAATATAATTTTCACGCGTGTGCCATACACGCAGGGCTAATGAGAGGGTGGGGCAAGGTGAGCTAGAGCCCAGGGGCCCATCGTTTTGGTCTTGTATACAATATTTTCGTTGTACCAAAGCATGTACAAGTGGTCTTGGTGCATCTTGGTCAAACAATTGCAAAGGGAAGGCAGCCCGGAACCCCCACAGCCACGGGGCCATCAGAAGTTCTCGCTGGCCTAGCGTACGTGCGTGACCGTAAAACATCGCGAACGGTGACGAAGTATACGTACTGTTATTGTATCGGGTGCGTCAACCGATTTTTGGTCTTTGTTGGCTTTGTTGTTGGCCTTGCTGTTCTTCCTCCGCGGGCTAACGCCCGCTGCAGGTGACGTATGTCGCGCCATACAATTCGATAGCTGGAAGATCGCTGGAGAAGAAGACCCGCAAGATCGGCGATCGATCGGAGACAATAACGACGGTGCGATCGAAACGCGTTTCCCTGGATGTTAACTGCGCACAAATCGCGCGACAATCGTACGACGTGCGATCGAAACACTTTTACGCAGCGACGACAACGGCGGTGGAAACGTCAAATGCGGAATCACATTCGTCGTGTCTATCCGATGACGCGACGACGATCGTTGGGAAAAACAAAATTGTTTTCCACACAACGTGTGTACGCGGACCGAACGTACACGGTACAATTACAATACAACGTTATGTTTTCCGCTGTAAGACCGAGACCCGATCTGTTAAAAAGTTTGACCCCCGTACTATTAATATTATTATTATTATCATAATTTCAATTATTGTACTAATCGTTCGGTTACCTAATCGTGCCTACATCTGTTCACAGATAACGACCGGTCGTTACATAATAACAAACTTCAAACCATCGCTAACGAGAGCATTTTTCCGTATTTTATTGCGTTTACCAGTGGAGTCTGTCTGTACGTGTTGAGTGAGAGAGAGGTGTTATCACTGTACAGAATTACTAGCACCGCCGGTAGAATACAACGTGATTCAAGTGCAATATACTACTGTTCTCTCTACAATACTCGAACCGGTGCATTCTTACAATCGGTTCATATGTCCGTTCCCGTTGTTCGTCCTTATCGGCTTGTTCGTTCCCACTCGGACCATGTCTGTCCAAAAAATTGAGATTTTTTTTTTTTAACAATCAACATAAAAAAAAAAAATCAACTTTTTCTCATCAACGTCGAGATTGCGTTTTAGGCATACGAGAGTAATTTGTTTACCAATAATTATTTTCTATAGCTATCAGATGAGAATAACGTTAAATGAATACTGTGAGGTTTCGCGTACAAACACATTTCACCCGAAGTGTCGGTTTTGATTTACAGCATTTTCATTTCGTGTCATCTGATAAATCGACGCGGAAAGAACGACGTTCAATACATTAACAGTCATATTTTTTCTCCAGTCATTTTTTTAATTAAAATAAAATATCGCGTGTTGAGAGTCGGGTAGTCGTTATTGTGACGAAAAATATTATTATTTGGGAATATTTTCTGAAATAATTCTTTCTGACGCATACGCGTATACACGATATGTTGCAGTGGTAAATTATTTTACCAAAAATATAGTCACTAAGCACGTGGTCACCGAGTGATATGATTGGATATTGAGTTACATATTAATAGATGTAGTAATATAAATAATAATACAATTAGTCGGCAAAAAGTGTTGGATTACATACGAATTGCGTCCCGAAAAAAAAAGTACATATAGAAACTTACATTAAAGAACGAAGTTATTCGTATAATTAAAAAGAGACGGACGATGGTAAATGAAAATAAGATTATTTAAGACAAAATAAAGTAAAATATGAAAGTGGCCAATTAATCCGTCTTGATAATAATCAAGTTTTTATCAGTATTTTTAGTTTTATTTTTATGATTTTTTTTTTTTATTATTATTTATTTTAATTATTATATTACATTTCTATAATTTAAACCTACCGATAGTCATATCGACAGTTCTATGTTTGTATGAAATAGGAAGGAAAATAATGTTTTTACGTTGGGACGCAATTCGTGTAGTCTTTAAATATAGTTGGGATGCAAATTATGTGGAAAAGGGATTTCGAGACGTAATTCATGTGCAGCGAAATTTTCAATAAGTTATTCTCGCTATCGTTTTTTTAGAAGACGGATGATACGCGGGCTTTATTATAACGATTGAAGAGTATTAGTATCGAGTAAGAGTGAGTGGTTATAATACTTATATAGTACTATATAGACATTATGGTTTTCAATTGAAATTCAATTTTTATTCGTTTTATGGCCGTTAATAATGTCACGTATATCACTGCAATAATGTTGTAATTATGGGATTCTATGTGTAAAATAATTGTGTAATCAATTAGAAATTATTAAATCGATTTTGAAATTTCAATTTTTTTCAGGTCTATCTTTTCAATACTAATCAAAATTCACCACGAAACAGAATGCCCATCTTTGTAGTGCGGTATGAATGCAATAGTATACTGCAAATTCGAAATACTTATCTTGGTCATTATAATTATTTATTTACCACAAACGTACTTTAAATTTACACGAGTACGTAAATAGTTCAAATACGATAGAAAAATATGTAAAAAAAACTTAATCTTGGGTTTTAATTAAAATTAAAATCTAATAGTGAAATGCATGAAATTATCATAAGGAGAAATTCTTCTAATAAAAGTAAACTATTTTCAAGATCCATTTGACTAGATCAAATTCTATACTAACTAATATTTTTTGTATCCGATGGAAGATACGTCAACTTAAGGTTCAATAATAAGTAATGCATTAATCTAATATATCTAATATTATAATATAATATAATAATATAATATAGCGACCGTCACTTGATCCATGAGATATTATATTGGGGTTCGTAACTATTTATTTTTTTTTTTTTTTGAAAAACAATATAAAGTGTATGTCTTCCATGTACAAGGAAAGATAAATTAAATTACAGTTGTAAACTTAATAATACGTTATGTCTCCTTACGTACTTGTATTAATTATAGGTACTCGTTTAAAATAATTGTTTGACCAAACGGACTAAGAGTTGCTTTTTTTACAAGTGTAATTCATTAATAACTAAATCAATAATATTATAGCAATGTTCATTAGTTACAAAAATATTTTAAAGGGTAAAACTGAAAAAATCTATAACTATATTATTGTGATATATTATAAGATATTGTACTCACGTAATTATTGTCTTCTTTGGAGCATTTGAATAAATTGTTTAAAATTCGTTTGGAAATTTATAGTTTGAACTATGTTCGAAACCCAATGATAATCTTTGCAATAATTATTTCCTCATGACTTATTCAAGATGCATGCGCATTAACGTTATATTAGTTATGTTATATAATGTATAATACCTATAAATACTTATGAAATGTCACGGTTAAAATTAGTTGATTGTTTGGTCACATTTCATGCGGTTGATAAGTATTCGTTGCGATCGTCATTTCGAAAAGAAAATGTCACTTATCGGATTTATTGGTATTAACAGAATAATAATGGATTTATTAATTATTGTAAAATTAATGATTAGTTATAATGCGAAAGAAATTCGTACAATAACTTGCCTTAATATATCAATATCTTTACATAGGGTGCTTCTATTCATTAGTTTTATGTATTAATATAGCCTTCAATGCGTTTTAACAAAACCTTTAAACACGTCCTATTCATATTGTAGGAGCCTAAATAAAATATACGAACAACTTCTAGTTTGCATTAAAAATAGCAGGAAACTAATATTTTGCATGAACTCAAATGTTTGCATTCATTATTAATTGATTAAAAATTAATTAAATAAATTAACAATAATACTACTTGGAGTGAGTAGAAAAATAAAATATTAGTTCTTAAAATATAATGCATGATCATTAGTTTTATCAGGGTGGGACGTAACGTTCGGTTACATTAGAAATCTGAGTCTCACACCCTCTTGATAGGTACCATATTAATATAAATCCAATGTTATATGCTCACTTTATACTTCTAGAATGTGGCTGTATGAAATAATAACAATTATAAAATAAAAATTATGTACTTTATACTTCAGTTTCAAAGCGCCGAGTTTTGCTTTAACAAATTAGATGCTTTTTTATGCTAACCTTAGTAATTATAGTTATTTTTTTCTGTAATGCAAAATGTAAAATCTATATCTAAAAATTATATAGAGATGGTGGTAAATTTTTCTTAACCAATTCGTTTTAATAAATGTATTAACCATATTGCATATACAATGACATATTTACCTACTATACATATGACATTGAATATGGTACGTCTACGTCCTTGCATAAATAATAATTCAATTAATATTTCAAATGATCTTTGAACTCAAATAACCATGCTCTATATAAAAATATCCAATGCCTAGTAACATTTAAGTTTCTTTTTTTTTTTAGTGGTTTTATTCATTAAAAATTATAGTAATATAATATTTATTTATAATATTATATCATAATAATATTATATTATAATATAATATATTATAGTAATATAATATTATAGTATAATATTTATTCATTTAAAAGAAATAAATTAAACGAATATTATTGAAACCAATAAAGTTTAGAATAATAAACAATACAGAGGGCATAGTATTATAATTGCTTATAATGGAAAACGACAAAATTTGACATCAGCACAGAAATAAAAACAAAAGTAGAAATATATTATTATTTGTCTGCTTATAGAAAAATATTGTGTTGGTGAAATTCATTTTATTATAAATTATATAACAAATTTTAAAAAAAATAATGAAGCCAGTCAAAATTAAACATTAAAAAAACGTGTGTGGATTCATTTGAAGACCAAAATTAAGATGGGAAGATATAATGGAGATGAGTGTAGAAGAATTAGGAGGTATGGTAAACTAGAAATATTTAGCAATTTATTGATATGGCTAGAGAATTGGTTGTGAAACGAAGTGATACTAGCAGTCAGATAACCCAAAGAAGAAAAAATATGAGTTCACTTCATAAATGACTATCTGAATTTCATACGTATTTTAATAATTGTATATGACTACGTGTAACACCCTGTTTATAACTTTTTATAATTTAACTATATTATGTACTGTAATTATTAAATTTTTTACTCTCGTCGAGTTAGGAGTTCGATCTCCAGGTTAACTACTGTCATCTGACCAGTGATTTCTTTGCCATTGTAAACATTAGAACAGTGGTTCCCAACAGGGGTGGGTATATTTTTGATGATATAACGAAAATTGTATTTGCTCAGCGAGCATTAATCTCATTTGTATCGACGTATCTCTGTGAATCAGGCTTATCCACGCTTTTGCTAATTAAAAGGCAAACAAACAAATCGGTTGGATATGGAAAATGATATGCGTTGACGTTATCAAATATATCCCCACGGATTATGGACTTAGTAAAAAAAAAGTCAAACTCAAATTTCACATTACATTAATTTTAACATCATATTTAATTATTATTTATAAAATTGTATTCAAAAATGTATTAATTATAAAGTTGATTTGTATTTTATTTTTAAAATGATGATAAAAAAAAAATTTATTAGCTGTATAATATAATATTATAATACATTTATAGTTATTTTGTAAAATTTTCTTTGTATGGCTTACTAAAAAATGTCATCTTATTTCTAATTTAAGGAAAGAAGGCATGAGATTTTTGAAAATGTACAAGGGAGGAATGGAATAAAAAAAGGTT